TAATTTTTTTTTCAAATCATATAAAAATCTAAAAAGAAAACTTAGAAATGTTTTGATTATTTGAAAAAAAACACTACAAGTTTTCAATGTATACTAGAACCCGTAAAATTTTAAAGCGGTCTCACAAATCGTCTTTCAAATTTCAAAAAAGAGCAAAAAATAAACCATTTTTTCCTGTCTTTAAAACTTCAGAGAGTAAAACTATAGAAAAAAAAGTTATCAATTTTTTTTCTAGTCTTTAAATATGCTTGAAATTTTGCCAATTTTCTAACAGAACAATTAATAATTAGAAATTGAATAATTTCAAAGTATTAAATGGCAAAAAATTTAATTTTATTGGTTGTTTTGCACCGCCATCATTAATAAAATACTGTTGTTCGAACCGTTGAAAATGGGGATAAACTGTATATTCAGGTGTATTTTATTTTCAACACAAAATTTTATCGGTATGAGTCAAGTGATAGATCATATGGAAACCCTTTCAGTCGTGATATGAACAATTTTTTTTCAATTTTTTGATTTTTTCTTTAATTTCCAGGGAATAATGTGAAGGAGCAGGCTTGTTTTCTCTTTCAGCCAAGATTATCTACCCCGAATATTAATTGTAATGGAATCGAATTATTTATCGTTTCAAAGCCCGTTCAATTTTTAGTTTGAACGACAATATTTTTTGCGCTGATTGACTCCTGAAAAGAGGCAGATTTTGTCTAATGGCAATCTGTTTTCTTAAGATGATTATATACAAAAAAGTTTTTAATGATTTTGAACCTATATTGAAAACAATTTTTTATCGTTTGTTATGACTTATTTTTATTGTTATAATTTTACTCGTGAGCTGGCAAGCAGAGTTCAATATATGATTTTTCTTTGTTTTTCCAAATTGCTCACTTGGTTGCACTTTTGCTATAATCAAATCCTGTAGCTTTAGAAATTTCATGAAAACATTTCTCTGAAAATAAGAACAGGAAAAGAATCCAGATGATGTTACAACTAGTTTTTAGAAGGAAATCTTACTAAATTGAATCAAATCTCCAATATCATGAGGACGAATTAGAGAGTCATCCAGAACGAACCATCAGAGCTGCGGAGAAGCCATAACAATTATGCATACTATTTTCAAAAAAAAAAAACCGTACTAACTACATGGAAGACCAATAATAAACAAAATACTCTGAAAAACCAAACCGAATCTATGTATGCTTCGAAATATTTCCCAAATAGACAAAAAACTTGCTGTTGATATTTCAATTGCGTGAGTTTTACGCAAGAAAAAGAAAACAAAATCATGAAAAAAGCTTTCATTAAGAGAAGAGTTTCAAATTTATAGTAGCTCTCAAAGCGTCTAACGCAATATTATCTGTATGAATATGAAAAGAAATTCTGGACAACCTTGAGAGTACAACATTAGAGATAGAGGAGCATTTGCGTAAAACAGAATAAACCAAAAATTTTAATTAGCAAAATAGTTTTTTCCTGTGCAAAGACAACGTAACCTTTTCAAACATATACTTTTGTTAATGAGGATTACATTCTGTGCATATGTGAAATTTCGAGACAGTAGCTGATTCTAAATCACTCAACAAGGATTAAAAGAATTCTGCACTAAAAATTACAAATAATTTTGAAACCTTTTTTTGCCAGAGAAGGGCTATATTAGACATCCAAAACTATATATTTTTTGATAAAACTATCAGTTTTTATCCTACAATGGTAATTTTGATACAAAATGAACTTTACTCGATTGCTTTACTTGCTCGAAAATAGACGAAAAATCAAAGGTTTCAAAACCAGTTTTTCTCAACACTGGTAATTTTTTTGGAATTTTTTTAAAGAATTGTTCGAATCACTAAAAGGGCTTTAATATGATGTACCCAACCCAGTCCGATTATTTTTTGTGGTACTTGACTTTGCGTGAAAAATGAAAAACAAGGAAAAAACTAAAATACACCTGTGTACAAAGTTGCTCCCCATTTTCAATGGTCGGAACAATAAATTCAAACGAAATGTGGTAATTACCAAAATGTAGGAATATGAATTAAAACAAAAGTTATCAAAGTGTCAACAGTAAAAATGAAAATAAAATTTAGCTCAAAAAACTAAGGAGAGAAAAACGAGATATTATATTCGTCATAAAAAAAAAACAAACAACATAAGCTCTGATCAATATTTTTGAAATGCTTAACAATCCGTTGAAATTGGACAAAGAATGCAAAGAAAAAGATAAGTCTCTCTGAGAAAACAGAACTTCCGACTAATGGTAATTTCATGTAGGCGAACAAATCAGATCGGACAGGTTAGAAAACAGGTTTGATTGGTGATGGTATCATAAAAAAAGTAGAAAAAAGCTTAAATTTTTTTTCAGCATCGCTCATGAAAGTTTCTCAATATTTGTAGGAAATCTTGAAAACTGAGAGAAAAATCAAGATGCAAAAAAGTTATCGTGTTACATCTTCTTGACATATACCCTAACCATGATTGCCTGATCTTTTTCTTTTTTTTACATGACATAACGAAAAATAAAATAAGAGATCACCCAATACAACAAAAAGCTAATAGCTGAATAAATCTGCCTTGAATCAAACGAAGTTGGTGCTATTGGTAGATCTGTATCTAGTTAATTTTGCAAAAACAAAACAAAAAGAAGCTAAAAATTAGCACGTGCTAGCTTGGGAAAATCAAACATAACAAAAAGTTAAACAGTTATTGTTCCGGCTTTCGATAGGAAAGTAACGGAATATTTGTGCTCGGGAGTGTGTTTGTTTTCTTCAGACAAATTTCGACTTTTTAACTAGCCATTTTTGAAAGAAATTTTCAAATCGTTCAAAAACTATTGTTGTCTTGAGCTTAAATTTGAAAAAAAATTTCACTTGTGATCATTTTTTGTAAAGTTAAGCGGGTTTAAAAATTGCCATTTTGGCCAATTTGGGACAATTAACGTGTGATATTGAACTTTAAGCGAGATTAAATCCGTCTCAGAAATTGTTCCAAGTGGTTCAAGGAAGCTTTTATGCCGTAATTGATTTGTTATTAGGAGCAAAATCTACCACTTTGTACTTAATTTGACATGTGGGGGATGTTTTCACAAAATTAAATTAAATTAGAAAAAAAATTTAATTTTATTTTATTACATTCAAATTTTTCATGTTATTACTGCTCCATAGACCTTAAATGCAGTCGAGACAGTAAGGGCTTCGCCCTGATACGAGCAGTTTTGTTGAAGTTTCCAAATTAAAAGCAAAAGCTGCTACAGTCTAGTGAATATTGTAACCATAGTCTTAGTGAATATTGTTCGCTCGAATAAAAAAGTTTTTTTTTTCAAAATATTGTTTTTTCTGCGTCGTGTTAGGAAAGAATCTGCATGAAAAACTATATTTTAGGCATATTTGACAGGAAAATAAAAACATGAAAAGAGTAATAAACATTTTCTGCAAAAATGACAAGGAAAACAAAAAAACTTTCGAAATTTTTTTTTATTAAATACAATTTTTTTCTCGAATTTTTGAAATTTTCGATTCCTAAAATGGCATTAGAAAACTCCAAAATTAGTTTTACTTGAATAAAAAATAGGAACGAAAAAGCGATTTCTAGCGGCTTAAGTTGAGCCTTCTCGCTCGCTTTGTATGCTCGAAATTTAGACAAAAAATCAAAAAGTTTAAATGAGTTTTTATCGACACTGAAATATGTTTTTGGAAATCTTAATGCTGTACGATTCGGGACTGAAAGGGCTTTAAATTGGTTTTACGCATAATATTAACCCAGTCTGGTAATAATTTGTAGTATCTGACTTTCTCGGGTTTTTCTCTACACTGACCGAAATTTTTTACAAAATTTTTCAATATCGTTCGATTCACGACTGAAAGGGTTTGAATATGATATTTCGATAGACACATTCGGATGATTATTTAAAGTACCTGATTTTATGTGGAAAACAAAAAAAAAGAAAAACTCAAACCCACGCGAATACAAAGTTTCTTCCCATTTTTTGCAAACTGAATACTTTTACAAAAAAGGCAGAACGCGTGCAACGTGTTTTAAAAATTATACTCAAATATTTGCAAAAAAATGTGAGAGCGAGAATTGTGTATACGTCTCTTCTAAAATAAATTCCTGATTTCAGAACTGAAAATATCTGTCTCGTGGATCAGATTTGCACACTATCAGATTAACTAGGGCTTTTCGGGATTATCAAACATTAGTTTCTTAAATTGGCAGGGGAAATGATAAAAACCACAAATCACACAAGAAGGGCAGAAATGTAGAGAGAATCCGAAATTGAGGTCAATTTTAGCAGACTTGATCAAGTTAATTAAATCAATTAGACTCTTCAAAGATAGAAAAATAATGATTCGTAAACGGCGAAATCAATAATTCTGATGGTTACTTGGTGTTGAAGAAAACAGTTCAACATCAATAATGAAGGACAAGTAGCCCTGAATATTGTGTTAAATTCATCCCCCGACGTTTTTTGTCTCGCTTCATTTGTGAATTGAATACGATAGTGAACTGATTTGAACTGTTCTTATTGTATGAAACATTTGATGCTACTCCTTCATAATTTTGATGAGCTTTTTATGTTTAGAGAACCAGTTTTGGAGAGCTACCGAATCGAGTTACCAGAAAATGTGATTGGTCGTTTGATTGGGAGAAATCGATCTGGACTAGCTAAGTATAAAAAAATTCCGGGAGTTCAAAATGTTCACATCCCAGATGAACAAATGGAGCGTTATGGCCAGTGTTACCTGGAAGTTACTGCAGATACCATTTCTACATGCAACAGAGTTCATGAAGAAGTGAAGAAAAGAATTGAGTTTATTGTCTCGAAACGTAGCACTTCAATTACCTTTGATCATACCACTCCGAATTTCGATGCAATCAGGCTGCAAAAATTTGATCAGGCTGGTTCGAACGCAGTACTTTTTGGGAAGCAGCCTCGAAAAAAAATGGTTGTTTCTGGCTTTGTAACAAGACTCGCTGAAGATATCAACCACCCAGCAACTGTACAAGACAGTTTTGAGCCAGACGCAAGCTCAAATTATTTTGACTACACTGCAGAAAATGTGGAATCGCTTTTTGACTTCTGTCTTAGTGAGTTGGAACCATCTCATTGCTTCAAATTGAATTTGATTATGAAGGTTGGTAAAATATTCTACATGTCTGAGAGGCGTTACGAAGAAATAGATTTGAAAAAATCAGAACTGATAAAAAACAAACAGTGCTTAAACAGCAAGAGATTGGAATACGTTTTCTGCCCCAGATTAAATCCGGAAAATATAACAATGGAGGATCTCGAGGAAAAGTTTGAGAAATTCGGTTTCGAGGAAGCTTCGGACGTTTGCAGAGAGGCAGACATGATCGTTAGTCTCACCCCTCGTGGGAATAAGACTATAGGTGTGAGCTTTGTTCATGACATACACAATCCGAAGATTAGCAAACTTTCTAGTGGTTGGACTCGTAATTTAATTGGAATCAGTGAGGCTCCTGTAGACTGGCGGGCAAGTTTGTTTCTTGAAAAGAATGAAACTGAGGAGGACGAATTACCGGAAGGTATCGAGAAAGTACTGGACGAATGCTGGAACCATTGCAACTCCTCCGAAGAATTGTCACAAAATGATCCCAACCAGAATGAGTATCCAATTGGCACTGAATCATGGAAAATTGTCTGTGTTGAACAAATACAAAAGACGAAAACCTGGGTGAAAAAAATTGACTATGATGACATAGATGAAACAAGCACTGAAAAACTACGCATCAAGGTACTTATTTTGGATTATTCAGTTTAGGTCCGGCGTGGCTTTCTCATAGAGTAATTTCGGATAGGGTGTACCGTCTAATTGCCACGCTATCTAATTTTCGACCGGATTGATTCGTGCAGCTTCTTAGTCTAATAACGATCCATGTCTTACTCTTATGTTTCCTAGTCTCAATAGATCTAGTATATACTGGTACTCTTGCGAGGTTAGAAGAATGGACGTGTAACTGCATTCTAAGTTAAATTATTAAAATATTTCTTCTCCGCGTGAAACTATAATTAATTTCATCTTTACAATTTATCATAAGTTTTGATAAGGGGCTGTGATAGGTTAGATTTAAATATTTTACAGTGATCATTATCTAGGAATACAGTTGGACATAAAATGATTGTTTTAAATTGATTCCACCTCTTTGTGAATGGTGTAAATGTGTAAATGGTGAATGGGTGTAAATGGTGGATTGATCTTTCGAGTGAAATGGTGAATTGATCTGGAGTTGAACATTTTAACAATTCCTTTTAACAATTGTGTTGCTACTTTTCGATATAATTCGCTGTGTTATATCTCTGTTTAGAACCCATTCCATGTTGGTATCGAAAGCTGATTTCAAAAATTTGAGTGATCAAAATTATCTTCATTGTGAGTGTGAAGTAGTAACTTTTAACATATGGACTCTTTTGATGGTCGACAACGTTCTTGTAAGTTGAACTTGTTTGATGCGTTTAAAATTTAATCTGATATCTGGGATAAGGATTTCGAATAATCCAGTTTCGGCTATCCAGTGTTCGTAAAGTGTAGTACATGCGCAAAAACCTTTACAATGTGATATTTGATTTGATGCTACAGAATGTGTGAATGCGTCAATTTTACCATGATGTATGAATTTCCTTCAGAAGAGGGTGAAAAAGGGCCTTTTGTATTGAATGAGGTTATGTGGTTAAAAAATAAACCTTGTCTTTTAAAATCTAGTTTTTGTTTTCGACATGGAAAAGGCTTTTTGAGTTGTCAGGTGAGACAGTAATTACAGTGTAATTTTATTCAATATGGTTCAATAGCGAAATAAAAGTTTTTTTTAAAATATTGTCATAGGTATTTTCTGACCCATTATGTCCGTTAGTGATTGATGAGTGTGCTGTATAAAATGCGATTAGAGTTGAACTGAATGGTAAACAGGATACTTCATCATCGGGTTGTAAATAATCCAAAATAACTGGCTTTTCAATGATTGATGTGATATTGATTTTGCGGAAAATTAGAAATGTTTTTTTTTCCTACGATGCTTATATCTGCTATCACAGGTTTAGTTTTGTTGTGTGCAAAGTTTTCATTCGGTGTATTACAGAGTCTAGCTTTTGGTTTTTTTAGTGAGTCGGTTTTAAACTGATGTTAGCGTGGGTATGGCTTATTGTGAACTGTAGGCTCAGGTCGTGCGAGAAGATGCAAGATATCAAGTGATGTCAATAATAAAAATACATATGTATCATAGTCCTGAAAATGGTTTGTGAAAAGATGTTTTACCAATGGTTTTCTTAGTGTATCTTTTGTTTTTATAAAATAATTCCCCACAAAAAAATGAGAGAAACAAAGATTGTCTGTTATTTCTACTTGAGATGAAGATAAAGAGTGACTTGTGAGATTACCTACCTCAACAGTTATCTCAACTTCTAGAAGATTTTGCTGAAATATTATTTAAATAATGATTTTGTATGTCTTTGTGGATGTCTTGTTTATGTTGTAGTTGATTTAATTCCCAACTGTAGAGTTAGGTCCTCTCCAAACGTTGATTCAATCAAGAAGGAAGTGCTACGAAGGTGTTACAATCCAGACGAAGGGGTTTATCAGAGTTTGATACCTATTAATTAGATATTGTTCTAAAATTATGGGGAGATGTTTAGAGATGAAATTCTTGTTAGTGATTGTGTTGATAGTAGAGAAAGTGTTCCTTGTAACGTTGATAAAATTGAACTAGAAAAAAGATCGATCAGGCCGTTAGCTAGGCTGGGTTTGCCGCGGGGCAATGTGTAGTTTATCCAATATGGAAGTGTCTAGGAGGGTTTGGGGGTAAAATGAGTTTTCTCTTATTTGTTCTGCTGTTTTTGTGGTGAAATTAGGTTTGTAGATAGCGAAGTGCTTTCTATTGTTGTTAGGAGGGTTGAGGAAGTTGAAGATGCTGGTGGTGAGGGTACGTTGAATTGTGTTGGTGGGGTTGCGTTTTTTCTGTTACTTCTTGGAAGAACTCTTTGTCTTTCAATTGGGGTATTTTGACTTTGACTATTATATCGAAATCTGTTCAATTCTCTTGAAAATATCGGGTAAAAATATTTGTTGGTTCTTATTGTGGTTCACTGAAAGGAGCGTATGATGTGCTGGAGTTATTTGTTCTAATAAAAAGTGCTTGTCTTTTTTAAAAGGTATATGGACTTTTGACGCATGATACCCGGGCAGGTGATTTAAAATGAGTTAATTGTGAGCTTGAATCATCGAATGTGCGGGGATTTTGGTTTGAAAATTGTGATAGCTTGACAGATGGGGGTTTAATGTTTCGGTTTTGATCAGCAATTTTGATAAAAGTATTTTTTTTATCAGATAAAACCAAGAAGAAACATGTTCTTAGTAATAGTCTTCGACGAAATTGATTATCAAAAAGGTTGCTAGTTTTAAGGCAAGTATTGTTTTCTTAAGACCTTTATGAAGTGCTGACTTTAAGCATGCAAGTACATATAGCCAGATTACAAAAATTATCAGGAAATCGTTTTTATTCAAAGAAACCTTATCATTTAGATGAAAAGTTATGGTTGTTATCGTATCTAATTAAGATATCAATGACTTGTCAGAGGTAAAAACAAGCTTATAAGAAAAGCAGAAAATGGCAATTTTAAAACAAAAAAAAAGAAGAGTTAATAATATAAATTCTAAGGTATCAGTTGAAAGAAAAATACAAAGGATCAGAAAAATAGGTATGAATTGATTTAAGTTTTTTCAGATTTTTTTGAAAATTTGAACGACTGATTGAAGCGTGATCATTCAGTTCATTCAGCCAAAAAAGGAATTAAAATTCCGAACCTTTTTACGGAAAAAAATCGAGTGGGGCCGGATTAATTATTGATTTTTGACAAGTAGGTTTGTTATAGGGAGAAAGTTTTGATGAAGACCAATCTGATGGGCTTGGTATTAGGTTGCTGGTTTTTATTTTTAGTTACAAGATGATCAAGTTCTTTTCAGAGCTAGGATTTTAAACAAGAAGATTTTGTGATCTGTGAGCTTTGGGCTGCTTTCCCTATTTTTTTTGTAGTGTTTTGAGGTCTGAATTTATTGAATTTTGTAGATTTTTGATTTATATGGATTTATACATTTTTGTTGATTTTTGTTTATCAAAAGGATTGTTTATCAAAAAAACTGCGCTCAATTATCGAAGGGGAATGTATTATTCATAAAAAAAGTTTCTAATTAGTCAAATCTGAGAAAAGTTTTTCTTTTTTACTGACCAAGAAATTTTTAAGTTGAAGTGCCAGTTTGATTTCAAGTTTTGATCTAAGCGTTGAATTGAACTGTAATGGAAAGTTTGAGAACCTGAAGAGCGATGATTGGCTGATTGTTTGAATTTTGTTTCTGATAAATTTGAAATTAAACTGGGAGAATTGATTTAAGTAGAAATTGATACAATATATATATCTTATGAAGGTGTTAAAGAGATGTTAAGAAAAAAATTGTTAAGTGTCTTACTTTTTTCAGTACCTTTGTTTGTGATCTGAAAAACTTATAATCTTTTCCTGGATAGTTTCGAAGTCTAGATCGTTTGTTTTGTTTTGTTCTGATTTTCATTTGTTTTTTCAGTTTTAAAATTTTCAATTGTGTGTGTCTCAATTTTTCCGATACTTTTGAATGTGATCTGAAAATCACATACCTTTGAATGTTTATCTTTTTTTATCATATAAAACCAAGAAGAAACATGTTCTTAGTAATAGTCTTCGACGAAATTGGTTATCAAAAAGGTTGCTAGTTTTAAGGCAAGTATTGTTTTCTTAAGACCTTTATGAAGTGCTGACTTTAAGCATGCAAGTACACATAGCCAGATTACAAAAATTATCAGGAAATCGTTTTTATTCAAAGAAACCTTATCATTTAGATGAAAAGTTATGGTTGTTATCGTATCTAATTAAGATATCAATGACTTGTCAGAGGTAAAAACAAGCTTATAAGAAAAGCAGAAAATGGCAATTTTAAAACAAAAAGAAAGAAGAGTTAATATTATAAATTCTAAGGTATCAGTTGAAAGAAAAATACAAAGGATCAGAAAAATAGGTATGAATTGATTTAAGTTTTTTCAGATTTTGTTGAAAATTTGAACGACTGATTGAAGCGTGATCATTCAGTTCATTCAGCCAAAAAAGGAATTAAAATTCCGAACCTTTTTACGGAAAAAAATCGAGTGGGGCGGGATTAATTATTGATTTTTGACAAGTAGGTTTGTTATAGGGAGAAAGTTTTGATGAAAACCAATCTGATGGGCTTGGTATTAGGTTGCTGGTTTTTGTTTTTAGTTACAAGATGATCAAGTTCTTTTCAGAGCTAGGATTTTAAACAAGAAGATTTTGTGATCTGTGAGCTTTGGGCTGCTTTCCCTATTTTTTTGTAGTGTTTTGAGGTCTGAATTTATTGAATTTTGTAGATTTTTGATTTATATGGATTTATACATTTTTGTTGATTTTTGTTTATCAAAAGGATTGTTCATCAAAAAGACTGCGCTCAATTATCGAAGGGGAATGTATTATTCATAAAAAAAGTTTCTAATTAGTCAAATCTGAGAAAAGTTTTTCTTTTTTACTGACCAAGAAATTTTTAAGTTGAAGTGCCAGTTTGATTTCAAGTTTTGATATAAGCGTTGAATTGAACTGTAATGGAAAGTTTGAGAACCTGAAGAGCGATGATTGGCTGATTGTTTGAATTTTGTTTCTGATAAATTTGAAATTAAACTGGGAGAATTGATTTAAGTAGAAATTGAT